TTTGAAAATAATAAACCTAAAGTTCTTTTAAAGTAGTATAATTTAATTCAAGCTTTTCACTAATCTAGACACTTGGCCCATCCTACGGTATGGGTGAAGATTTACTAAGTACTTGCATACAGCAGTCGGGAATGCGATTCTCTAACTTAGTGGAATAGTTGGCTGATCCAGAAAAATCTACAAAGAAAGCGACTCCAGAGCCGTGGCTTTTATTTTGTATCTTACCATGGTAAGAAACACATTTTGCATTGCAACTCAGTCCTCACACACTGAAACAAAAACAATGCTTACCCTTATTATGTGCCATGCACTGTTATTTTCTATTTATTTTTTAATAAATGCTAGTCACAACCCTCTAAATTGATTCCACAATCCATGAATGGGGTTGCTGTTTTGGAAACACTGGGATCTGTGGGGAGACAGTTCTCCGTCCTGAGAGAAAGGGGTGGGGATGGGGAAGAGCTGTGGTTGCTTCTGGTTTCCTTGGCAGTGTCCTCTCTAGCTCTCCACTCACATCCTTGGCCATCCACCTCACTGCTTGAGTCACTACTGTCTCTTGTTCCTGGACACTGCGGAGCTCATTTCTACCCTCATCAGCCCTTCCAGCCAAGTTCCCAGTTCCCCCAGTTCCCACCCATCCCCTTTTCTTCAAAAGACCACCCCGAGTTTCAGCCTGATCTATGGATAAGTTGGCCAAGCTGACCACTGCAGACAAGCTGAGCCTCTCCACTCCACATTGGGGACCCTCCCCAGCTTAATGACTCCCATCTCTGATTCTTGGCTCCATTTTCCACTAACAGTCCTCTGGTCTCTGGACTGAGTTTGGTATTTGGATCTCCCAAGTTCTTATCTAATTGCTCTCCATTAAGAACATGGATAACGTTATTATCATCACAGTAAAAACATCTTTGTGACCAGACAAAACCCAAGACCCAGCTCCCCCATACTCACCAGCTGTGTGACCTTGCATAGGTCATTTAATTTCCCTGTCCCTCAGTTTCATCATCTATAAAATTGGGAACATGTCTGTTTTGCAGGCTTGTGAAGGGTAATAATCCTTATAAAATGCTTACTTCAGTGCCTGGCACATAACAAGCATTCTCTAAATCTTGCCTATTCTCAGTACTATTGTTGCTCTTATTGTTGGCTCAGATTTAACCTACTGGTTCATTTTTTCTCCCACCAAAACCACACCACTCCTGGAAGGCAGATACTGGTTCAGAGTTTGAGACTGCATACCCTATGGACACAGTTCCCGTCCCCCATTCACCACCCCCTCTCCAAATTACCTCCTGGGTGATGCTCTTATTCTTTTCCATATCCATCTCAGTTAGACCCTGGTTTCCATCCCATATTTGTCTGCATCGCAGTTCTTGCCAAGAATTGTGATGCTTGAAGTAAGTGGACAGGGGACCGGGCTGATCATTTAGCTGCGTGAAGGGACCACAGATAGGAGGAAAGCCCAAGAAGTCCATGCCTCCCCTCAAGCAAGCTACCCTAACAGGTTATAACCTTCTACCATGAAAATCAGAGGTGGCCTACTTTATCCTATGCAGCAAGGGGAGACTGATGAAGGGACTGTATAGCAGCCCAGGGACCCCATCCTGACAGCTCACGCCAGGCTCTGCATACAAGCAACACCCAGCCATGACTAGTGCTTGCTGCCCTGGTTTCATGAACTGTCTGCCACCTCATGGGTATTGTTCCTCGCTCAGTAATCCAGTTCCAACGTGCCTGGCTGTACTTTTGTGGCTCCCCTACCATGTCCTTGCCTTATTCCTTTGATTCTGTGATTTCTCTGGCTTTGGATGTCCTCCCACCTGTGTTTGGCCTCTGTTTAGCTTTGATGTACTCACAGATTACCCTATCTCATATCGATAGTCCCTGCTTTAACTTAATCCTAATTCCTTCTTCTATCCCTCACTATCTCCTACCCTCTCAATCTGCTCTAGCCCCATGGACAAGAAAAGTAGCTGTCTGTGACATGACTCTTCAGATAATAAGGTCATTGGTTTATATTCTAGATGCATAAGCAAAACATTTGGGGCAGGGGTCCTTATTCTGTAATATGGAAAATAGCCCTCATCCTCCGTTTCCTGATGAGATTATATCTGCTTGGGACATGCCTGATGGCTGTGTGAGAGGTGGTGATGGACTTACCTTGAAATCAGGATCTTTCATCTTCAGAGAATAATGGCTAAGATCATTGTAATTAAGAGTCCAAACTCTGAAGCATGACAATGTGGGTCTAAATCCTGTCCCTGCAACTTGCTATTGTATTTTGAGCTTGTTTTTTTTTGGGGGGGGGATGTCTGTCTGAGAGAACAAAGTCAAGGAGGGTGTCGAGGAGTAAGGGAAGTTTTCATGGAAAAGGTTGATGCTTGAGTATCTCCTGAAGTCCTGCTTTTTGCTCATGGCCTCAGACCTATTCAGGCAACCTGAACGAGACAGTCTCCACAAATAAGCTCAGAAATGTCACCTCATGTCCTGGATTCTAGTGGCCTTGTTCCAGTGGTCGGGACTCTCACATTGCCCCCCGGCGGCAACCCAGGTTTCTGTGCGGCAATCAGTTAAGAAAGCTACTATTAGCGGTAGTAACCAGAGTCCTATCTTGTGGTCCCTCTGCCAGTGAGTCATGAAGGGCTTAGTCCTTATTATCAGGCTGCAGTCTTTATCTTATTTGTAATACCGAAGTCCTTCCCCAAGACTTAAGCCCTTCTTTGAACTCTAGTCCAGTGACTACAGTCCCTGCTGTTTATCTTCTCTTTGCCAGCCAGCCCTCTTCTCGGGAATCGGGGCCCTCTTTTATATCCCAGCTGGGGTTCTGCTATCCACCTGGAGAAGGGTCTCCAGAATGGCCACCCATCTACTAAGGCTGTCCTGAATACCCCACCGCTGGGGTTCCCACTTACCTGGAAAGCCCAACCCCATGCATGTCTAGATTTCGGCTAACGGTCGATAAAGACTCTCTCTGACCCAACTTTAGTCAGGCTCCTCTGAGTCCTCTTTAAGACCAGATCTCAACTTTGGTGTCTGGCCCAGTTTGGGTAAGAATCCTGCTAAGTAAGTTTATTGAGAGTCCCCCCACCCTTGATATCTGATCAAGTTTTTCATCTGCTATCTTTGATGTCTGAGTCCTTGGCTGCCTTTAACAAGAATCCTGTTAGGTCAGTTTAGCAGGAATCCCCCTACCCTTTGATGTCTCTGCTAGTAATTTTCCATTCACTGACCCCCTTCCTCTGCTCCTTGGCTATCAATCACAACTTGTTCTTGCTGTATTTGGAGTTGAACTTGACCTTTCTCTCCTATTGCAATAGATTTAACCCCTATTACAATAGTTTTTTTCTCTCCAAGGTATGGTTGATAGATTTATTTTCTTTTCTAGCACTTTGTGGCCTAGTTATTTTTTTAATTCTTCAATCTTAACCTTATTGAGTTATAATCCCAACTTCATAGTATAAGTTTAAGGTGTACAACATGGTGATTCGATACACATATATATTGTGAAAGATTACCACAATAAGACTTGTTAACACATGTCCCACCTCACATGACTACCATTTTGTTGTGTGTGGTGAGAACATTTTAGGTTTACTCTTAGCAATTTTTAACTGTGTAATTGTAACAGCATTGTTAATTACAGTCACCATGTTGTACATTAGATGACCCAAAACTTACTCAACTGAAAGTTTGACCAACATCTCCTCATTTTCCCCAGCCTCCGCTCCTGGGAACCACCACTGTATTCTCTGTTTATGTGAGTTTGGCTCTTTCAGATTACATGTATAAATGAGATGACAGTATTTGTCTTTCTCAGTCTGACTTATTTAAAATATGGAATTCTCCACCAATTTGCGTGTCCGCCTTGCCCAGGAGCCACGCTAATCTTCCATTGTTCCAGTTTTAGTGTATGTGCTGCCAAAGTGAGCACTACAGTTGTCTTGAATAAAGTCCTCCCCACCATATTTAACCAGGGGCACCTGGTTGGCTCAGTCGGTTAAGCATCTGTCTTTTCCTTAGGTCATGATCTTGGGGTCCTAGGATCAAGCCCCGCATTGGGCTCCCTGCTCAGAGGAAGCCTGCTTCTCCCTTTCCCCTCCTGTGCTTTCTCCCTTCCCCTCTCTCAAATAAATTTAAAAAATCTAAAAACAAAAACAAAGGGGCACCTGGGTGGCTCAGTTAATTTGGGTGTCTGCCTTCAGCTCAGGTCATAATCCCAAGCTCCTGGGATCAAGCCCCACATTGGGCTCCCTGCTCGGTGTGGAGTCTGCTTCTCCTTCTCTTGCTCCCTCTTCTTGTGCTCTTTCTCTGTCAAATAAATAAGTAAAACCTTAAAAAAAAAAAAAGGTGTCAAAATAATTTTTTCCTTTAACACTTGCCACGGCCTTTAGACAATAACCATGTGGACAACCCATGGCCCAGTCACCCCCTGGGCCATGCTGCCTTCCCTCCTTGTTCTACTCTGGGAATCAGGTCTTTTTCCAGGCTCTCGAGTTCTTCTTCCTCACCAACTGTAGCTGACACACATGCAACAACACAGCTCAGGTAGAGTCACCTGAAAATATGGACCTAGAGAATACGGTCCATTCCATGCCAACCAATGTCACCTAATTCAGTCAGTCAATCAAAACATACAAATGAATTTAAATGGTTTCTGAACACAAATATATTTTCAAAGAGCATCCTTATTTGTATTACAGACATGAACAAAATACATACACTCAAGTCATAAAATATGTCTTGTGCTCTTTTGAATTAAAAAATCCTAGTAGAAGCAGATCTTTGATGTTCCAATGGTGCCATAAACAAATTCACAGGCCTTTTGGATAAAAATTTGGATAAAATTATCTGAAATTTTACCTCTTGGGTTTCAATATGTTTTTGTTGTTAATAGAGAGACTTGATTGTAAAAGCCTCTGCACCTAGAGCTCTGGTGATTTTTTTTATGTTTCATTTGTCTCTTTCCTCTGGCTGCAAGTAAGGTAAGGACTTGATAAAATTCAAAATTTACTGAATTTTGTATTAATGTCAGGTACACAATTTTCCTCTTGATTATCTCCCTTCATGTGGGCTACTGAAGTACTCTGAAGGAAGTGGCGGGCCAACCATTCATTGGTTCTCATGGCTTTGCAGTGGAGGCAGGGCCTTTCCCTGATTTGGCAACTTCCCACATTCCTTGGCCTCTGAGCTATTTTTCTCTTCTTAATACTAGCTGGTGACGGATGGTGTTCACTTTCACTCTCCTTCCACGAGGAGGCTCCCGAGTTCGATTCTTCACTGTCACACTCAGTCGTATCACTATCGTGTTGGATCTGATTCACCTGGCTGAACTGAGAATGGCGCCTGGCTCGTCTTTGTTCAAGATAGGCATTGACCAAAGCCACTTCTGAGTCAGTTACAGGGGTAAGTTGGCTCTGCTTTGGTTTTTTCATCATTTGTAAAGAGTCCCAGTCACCATCTTTGCTTTGCCGCTTATAGGAAGTGTCTTTGCTTGCTAACAACCAATGAAACAAATCAAGATGTTAGGCATATCATTGGTTACCGCAACTTCGTATTACATAAGGAAGCCTATGGCATGTATGGACTCACTCTCGGTTGCCATTTGGCAAGCCACCACTTGTCTCGGCTCATTTGCAAGCATTGGCAACTGCCTGCCTTTTCCGGTATGATACCAAGTCCTCTAAAGACCAGAGGGTTCAAATAGATGCTTGACACATTGTTTTTGAAGCCTTGTGGACCCCTGATATAAGATCAAGGGAAAGGTCACCAAGCTTTTCCAGAGAAGGACACTTTTTTCCCTTGCCTTGAATTCTTAAAGATTCAAGTATGTATGTGCATGTGATTTGGGTAGCAGGAAACTAAAAAGGGTCTTTTCTTTACACAGTGCTGTGCTGGAGTTGTCTTCTACCAGCGAGCTCACAAGAACAGAGGGTTAAACTTACAGGAATTCTGTGAGATGGTTGTTAAAACACAGCCTATTAGTCAAAATTAAATTAGACAAACTTACCATTAAATCCATTTATTACACATAAATGTAATAAATATTCTAAGCTAATCAGTTCCTAATTATTTTATTAGATTTTATTAAGAAATAGCTCTTGAAGCTATTTATGTCTGTGGTATCTGGATATTGGAAATCCTATGTAATGGTGTGCTACCATGCATCTCTTCCCAACTCCACTTCAGTAACATGTTGGTAATTTGCAATCAGTGTGGGCGGGATAAAAAGCAACGAGCACTAAAAATCAGGTCTTGTTTATGATTTTGTTGATTGTCTCGGCTTAAAGTGGAAAAGAACATGTTACTAACATAGATTACATTTAGAAGTGTCATCTTTAGCTACTACATTGTGAATCGCACCCAAAACGAGGAAATATCCTTCCAGAGTATTCTAAAATTATTATCCAATTCAGGAAAGAAGTCATATCATTGACAACCAAGTTAAGTTATAACATACATCTTGCTGCTTCCTTCATCTTACTCCTTAACTTAAAAGAAACATAACATTCATATAGGACTACACTTGTTCACACATGCGGCCGTTGGTTGGCTTAGGATGCAAGGGTCTGGCAGAAATCTTGGGAAGTGCTTTGTCAAATTGGCAGTCTATTACCATAAAGTATATTATATATCTTGTTACTTGTAAATTGTGTGATATACATCCTTTATATCAGCAACATTTAAAAAAAAAAACATGCGGGGCGCCTGGGTGGCTCAGTGGGTTAAAGCCTCTGCCTTCAGCTCAGGTCACGACCCCAGGGTCCTGGGATGGAGCCCCCAACGCAACGGGCTTTCTGCTCAGCAGGGAGCCTGCTTCCCCTTCTCTCTGCCTGCCTCTCTGCCTACTTGTGATCTCTGTCAAATAAATAAATAAAATCTTTTTTAAAAATGTCATATAAAGCTCATAATCCTATAGCAACACTAACAATAAAGTTGTATGAAAGGCAAACTATATGCAGGGAGAATGCTTGAGGAATGAAAAGAGAACTTGAACTCTACGTACTAGTAATTCATGACCTTTAGAAGCTCTACTGAAGCAGCTAAGCTGTCCTGTGCTAAAGCAAGAGGCCCATCCAAGGGGACACCACAGGTCTGGGGAGGCCTATAACCACGCTCAGTTGTTTGCTTTCCACACTCAGCACATATTTCTCTCATCATAGTTCAATACCAAATATGTACCAGCTCTCACCTTTACTGATTGAGGTGCTGGTCCCACTGTCTTCATCCTTTTTCTTCTCCGACATCTGTTTCAGAAATACAGGTCAGTAATAGCAGTCTCAGTTGGCTATTTTTCAAGTCCATAGAACACTGTAGCCCTAGACTCTTGGGCAATGTCTAATTTTAAACATTCAGCACAATTCAATAAATTCTTACGGAGTTCCTATTAGAGTGATCATCTCATCTGCTGCTCACTGGAAGACCAGGCTTTGATAGCAGAGTCTGCCCAAAAGTTTTAAACCAAGCCAAATGGAACAAAGACTTGAGAGAAAATAATACTGATGAAGATCTATGGGTTGTAAAGTTTTCCTGTACTCACATGATAAAGAAATATCATTTAAATATCATTTAAAAACAGATTTGATAGTACTGGGATTCATTTTAAATTACTTTGTAAAGACTTTATCAGGTCACCTTTTTTGTAATCCTTGAAGATCTTTACCAGAGTTCATAAATCTACTATATCCCAAGTCCTTCCGAAACTTTCCTCTAAAATGCAACCATAACATTATCTATGGATTTGGCAACAGAAAAGAAATGGATTTCTTTGAATAGTTCCTCAAATACCCTAGCCCAATACTCCATAAATAAATTTGTCCCATTGTTCAGATTAGTGTCCCATTTTTTGATACTGAACGTGATTTCGCTAAAATATAAATATAAAACAACTCTTTCAGAATGTATCAAAACTTTAGAAATATTCATAACACTTCTGACATGTAATAATTCTTACTAGGAATCTATCACCAGGAAATAACCCCTCAAAGAGAGAAAACTTTATGTACAAAAATAATCACAGTGTAATTAGGATAATATAAAATTCAAAGGTAGGCAATGGTTAAATTACGGACAATCATAACATGTAGTTGTAAAAATTATTATAAGAAAAGCATGTCTCGACATGAGGAAATACATGTTGTACTACTAAGTTAAAAATCAAGATACAAATTTGTAGGGGCGCCTGGGTGGCTCAGTGAGTTAAAACCTCTGCCTTCTGCTCAGGTCATGATCTCAGGGTCCTGGGATTGAGCCCCGCATCATTGGGCTCTTTGCTCGGCAGGGGCCTGCTTCCTCCTCTCTCTGTCTCTGCCTGCCTCTCTGCCTAATTGTCTGTCAAATAAATAAATAAAATCTTAAAAAAAAAAGATACAAATTTGTATATGTAGTACAATCACAAGAAGGCTAAAAACATGAAAAGACTTTAAACAATGTACACAAGTGTTAGCAATGGTTGTGAGAGAAACAGTGATACTTTTCCTTCTAACTTTTCAAGTTGTCTACATTTGGGGAAAACAATGAATTCTCGTAGAAAGTCAAACTTCCTTGGGGTTGAAAATGCCATACCTGGGTATTCATAGCTACAATCCAGGATCCTTGGCCCGTTCCTTTCTTAATATCTGATCTCTACAACAGCAGGCAAGTATCTTTAATGAGATCCCTCTCTGCTTTTTGGGTTACTGCAAACATTCTCTGAAAAATTTAAGAGTGGAATCCTCTTTTGAGATATCTCTCTTTTCACAATGACTGGTGGGGGGAGGCTTATTTTAAATTTAATATATAGAGAGATAATTATTAAATGATTAGAAGTTCATACACCTAAAATTTTGTTCATGGTAGTTGGTTATTTCCAAGTAATCTGGAGTGGGTCTTTTTTTTTTTCTCATTTTTTGCACTTTCTTGTAATTTCCATGTTTTCTATAATGCATACTTTATTGGACAGGGAGAAATGTTAAAAATATTTATTAGGTTTACATAATTTTTACAGAAAGCTTCCATTTTTGACTTGATGTCAAATCAAAACAGAATCTCAAAATCAAAAGATTTTGCATCAAGCTAAGTGGAATCACATGAACTGTGGTTACCAAAAGCACTTTCTTAACTATCTGTGTGCGATTCAGTGAGTGAAAACATCAGCAGGGCCTGCCCTGAGGAGTAGGGGAGAACAGAGAGGAGATCTAGGCTATGGCTTTGCCTTTCAGCCATGGAACAGCTCTGCAATTTTAGCAATTCACTTAACACCTCCCTAAAGCTCAGTTTCCACACATGCAAAATGAGAAACTTGGACCAGTATTGTTTGGAAAAATACCAGCACTAACAGTCTGAATAAACACTAAACAAATACACAAACTAAATATAGTATTTATACTCTCTGAAAGCAAAAGGGTAAATGCATCTTAAGTAGTGGCAAATCCAGAGGAAATCAGCATGTTTCACGTTTGAGGATAATTACCACCACATTTCCATCACGCTTTTACCATTACTTCAAGGTTTGTAAATAAAGGCCCATAGTTTAGCTGAGAAAATGAAGTTCAAAGTGAAAGAAAAATTCCATCCTCCTTGACTAGCTCTCATATGGTTCTCAGATTTCAAATCTGGGACCCTTCACAAGCAGCAGTTCAGCCCATTGTAACTGCCATGGGGGTACAAAGTGAAAGACGAAACCTCTAAGATAATTAAGGTTTTAATCAGCACTGAATAGATTTAATTCAACATTTCAGCTATGCTTTGAAGCAAATGAATTACATGGCAGGAAACCTAGGTCTATTTCTCCTCCAACATTTAACCACTTGTGTAACATTGGACAAGTCACTTAATTTCCTTGGGCCTTATCAATTAAAAAAAAAAAAAAGCAGGGATACTGGTATCTTATTTGTCTACAAAAAGGTGGCTGGACTGCCAGCTCTCTTAAGGGTCCTTGAAGCTCAGACTCTGATTCCAAAGAGCTGATACAAGCAAAGGAGCAGAAGAATAACTTAGATCTCTTAAGTAGTCCTCATGATGAAATTGCCAGGAATCAATTTCAATTTTTTGTTAATTTTCTAAAGTAGCTTTTCTGGCCAATCCAGACAAATTCAATATACTTAGCTAGGGAGTCTAGGACATATATAAGGGATCACTATTCTAAATCTCCTTTTGGCAAAGTATCTACTTTAAGAAGTATTTAGACTTTAGATGAAACTTCTTCTTAGGAAGAAGAGGTAGCGAGGGGAAGAATCTTTGATTATTATAATGGAATCCAGCTGGCATAGACATAACAAACCTCTTCCTCTCCATCTAGAGCTGATGCAGCACTCAGTCTAGCTGACCATTGCCAGCCCAGGGGGCTGGCTGTAATGCCAAATGATGGTGGTCTGATTAATCATCAGCCTGGTATTAATGGCCAGCAAGGATGCCATGTCAGCAATTTATAAGAGCTTGCTCACTCATAATACGTTGGAGATACACAGTCCTGAAAACCTGGGCTACCCCCTTCCTAAGAGGATGGTATTTTCTTTTGCTAGTAGGCGGTCTGAAGTGATGACTTTTGTTCTGTTTAGTTTAATTTAGTTCTGCATCTTATCTTTCAGGAGAGGACATTGCCTCATTCTCAAATCTCCCAAATCCTACAACATGTATTCTATAAATATGACAACTTTTGTATCTTTGATTAGAATTACGTGCCTACAAAAGGAATTTGGAGGTCATTTACCAGTAGGGAAGTTTATCCCAACATTTCACAGCCTATGGACAAACTGCAAACAACTTAAATGTCTCCAAATTGCAGATTTGTTATGGTGCAACCACCAGACAAAATTACGCAGCCATTAAGAGTGCTGCTGTGTGAATACGATTTGAGGAAATGTGACAATATAATATTAAGTTTTTAAAAAGGATATGAAAATGTCTACACTACCAACCATGTAAGATCAAAGAGAGATTGAGAGAAATATATTGAGATAGAGAAAAATAAAAAACAAAACCAGACTATTACTCCAAAATATTAACAAGGGCTCTCTCTAGGAAATAGGATTACAGTAGTTTAAATTTTCTTCTTCATCCTTTCTGTATTCTTGGATGCTCTAGAAAGAGATTGCATTATTTTTAAAACTGGAAAACAAACTTCTAAAAAGTAGCTTGACCGAAGTAAAGTGAATTTATTTTATGGAAAATCCCCTATGATACAGTAAACATATTATTTTAAATGAAATAGGATATCCTACCCAGACAGAAGCCCGAGAGAACAACATCAGGACCAATATAATGACAAAATACCAAAGCAGGAAGCTCCCTATTGTCCCGCAAGAGTCATCCTTCCGGCATTCATATTCCTGACTTGGAATGGTAAAACTTAAAGGTATGGGGGGAGGATCCACCTCCCAAAATAAGGAAAAAAGGTCTCCCATGATGGCTTCTTGCTTTGAAAATAAAGCATGCTCAAAGGAATGAAGATGACTGGGAAGTACTTCACTCCATGTGTATGACAATTTCCTTGGCAACCTATTGTGACACACGCTTCAGTAACTGTGACAGGAACTGACAAACACTTCTTGGATTTCTAACTTTTAGGAAGATATATCTAAATTATTTCTATGAGAGTTACGGTATTTCCCCCATACATCAGTAGGGTGCATTCTACCTTAATCTTTTTTTATTTTCCTGAAACTTGTACATACTGTATTTTCTTTAAATTTTAATGTCTGTAATATCTAAGTTTCTGAGGTATCCATTTTTTTCAGTCTCTGTATGTATCATATCACTGTAAATTGACATGCACACACCTAACATATTATAGAATGAATTATGTTCCCCCAAAATTATATGTTGAATGAATAATCCCCAATTTGACAATAACTGGAGATAAGGCCTTTAAAGAGATAATTAAGGTTAAAGAGGTCATAAAGATAGGGCCCTAATCCAGATGACTGATGTCCTTATAAGAGAAAGAGACACCCCATGGATGTGTGGACACAGAGAAAAAGACCATGTGAGGACACAGAAGGTGGCCATCTTCAAGCCAAGGAAAGAGATCTCAGGAGAATCCAGTTTTGCCGGTGACTTGGTCTTGGACTTCTCACCTGCAAAACTGTGAAAAAATACATTTTTGTTGTTCAAGCCATCCAGTCCATGGTATTTTTTTTATGGTAACCCTTGCAAACTAATACATAAGGCCAGTTATATAGCAAAGCAGTATATCTAATAGTGTTTCTTTTTAAGCCTTCAATAAGTGCACAATAACTTAAAGACATTAAGAGAGGAAATAAAGATGTGTCTGTTGTAGGGGTGCCTCGGTGACTCAGTCTGTTAAACCTCCTTGTCTCAGCTCAGGTATTTTGATCTCAGGGTTGTGAGTTCAGACCCAGCTTGGGCTCCATGCTAAGTGTGGAGCCTACTTAAGGAGAAAAAAAAAAAAAAAAAAAAAGACGTGTCTGTTGTAAATGACATTAAATGTATACAATTTCTTAGGAAAGAGATATGAGGTGGGGAGGAATCTGGTATTCTAATTTTGACTGTACATTGGGTCCCTTCACTTTGAACAATTTTTGAGTAAGTTCATCTCTGAATCTAAAACTAGAGCAAAACATCATTGCTGCTAAGGCAGTCTAAAAATGATTAAAACCACAGTTTAACAAAACCTGTTAGGGGCCCCTGGGTGGCTCAGTGGGTTAAAGCCTCTGCCTTCTCCTGGGTCATGATCTCGGGGTCCTGGGATCAAGCCCTGAGTCGCTCTCTGCTCTCTGCTCAGCGGGGAGCCTGCTTCCCTTCCTCTCTCTCTGCCTGCCTCTCTGCCTACTTGTGATCTCTGTCTGTCAAATGAATACATAAAATCTTTAAAAAAAATCTGTTAGATCTTTAAGAGCATAGCATACCTGCAGATTCCATTAATATGCAATACCACGAGGAATCTTAATTTTCTTCTATTTGACCTTAGGTGCATCTTAGGAAAAATTTTGGTCATTGACATGTAAATGATGTAACAATCCACTAGCTTGTTGTGAAAAGACGTGGTGTTTTCATTAGGGTAACATTTCTCCACATCCCCAAAGGCAGGTCCCCTCTCCCGGGCCATGGTGGCTGTTGGCCTTGTGCCTTAGGCCTGCATCACCTCCTCCAGGAAGCTCACCAGGAGCCTGCCAGGGGCACCCCCTCCAGGCTCACCGGGCCCCACCTCGCCTGACCCTCTATTGCACCTGCTGGCTGACCTCCAAACACTAACCAGGGAACTCCACTTTTACATCCCCACGCGTGGCTCTGTGGACATTGTAGGCGTTTGTATTTGTTAAATAAAACCAAAGTGAACTCCCTGATGAAGTTTTTCCTCAGGATTATAAGTTCTTCTGAAGAATATGCAATCAAAGTGAACAACTGGATTTTTTTTTTCAACCTCAAAACCACTAGCAACTTTAACAGATTTGGGGATTTCTTCCTACTGCTGCACCCATATTACAAGGATATTTAAGAATTTACATCGGGTCAAAACACTTATTTTTGTGAGAAATGCTCTGTCGTCGCTGATGGGTGTCTGGACACGTTACCACATACTCTACCCTACAATTAGCTACCCTGCATAATAAAATCGGCTTAAAAATGTGAGCGTATTTTTTATCCATAAATACCCTAAGGAAGCTAAAATTATATTACTATATAGAAATTCAGCTTGTTACAGTTATTACTTTTTACTGCGGGTTCAGAACTTGGTCTATATTTTTGCTGCTCAGCTTTCTCCCCGCAGAAGAGAGCCACAAACACTAAAGCTGTTTCCCTGGTAACGCGCTTAGCTCTCGTTCTTCCGCTCCCCCACCCCTTCTCGCGAGAAGGTTCATTCTTCCGGTAACTGTGGTCCTGCAAGTCGGTTGCTTTCGCCTTCGCGCTCGGTTTCGCGCATGTGCAGTAGGGTGTGGCGCGAGCCACCGGCTTCCGGCCGAAGAACATGGTGCGTTTTGGGGGTGATCTTTGTGCTTCCTGGCCGCGGAGTCCACGCGGGCAGTGGGGTTGCCGTGACTGTGGATCCGGCGAGGGTTCAGCCAAAGGGGAGTGTGTCCAGGCGTCCCATCACCTGTAGTGGAAGGACGAAAGAAAGAAGCCATAGGGGTTGCTAAAGTTTGTGCTGGGAGACCCAGGGAGGGAATCTCTGGGGACTGGCAAGTTTTGACTCGCGGGCTGGGAGGCGGGAAGGGTGCTGCTCTGTACTCTATGGATGGAAGAGTCTTATGTTTGTCTGAGATGAGGCCTAGCGAAACAGAGGAAATATAAATCCCACGTGGGCCCAAACTGCACACTCCCCAGTCGCTCTCATTCCCTTCATACTACGAGTGTTCACCCTTAAAAAACTTAAATTCTTAAACTTTATCAGCATCACAAAACAGGGGTCCCTGGCGTGCGACAGGCCGAGTGCAGAGTTGTTCATGATGGTAGGCAGTTAATGGTTTCTGCGAGGAGAGTCTTTCGTGGCTTTAGCTAATATGGAGTATTTTCTCCCAAATCTTGGTATTTTGAGTTTCTTAAATTAGCCCTTGGGCTAGTCCTTGTAACATCCTTGAAAAGCACAGTACAGAATAATTGTGGATATAATCACCATCCTTTAAATACCAAAATAAGACATTTTTAATTCATTGGAAGTATTGTTCTCTGAAGTGACCAGCCAGTTCTCTGTTGATTACAATATGGTACCAATAAACTTATAATTTAGCGTTCCCTTTTCATATAATAATAGTAAAATGTAGAAAATTTTGAAAAGACATTTTAAACATAAAATGTGCAGTTTTTAGTTACCGTTATAAAGGACACAAGTTTCTTAAATGGAGAAGTGGTTTCTTTTCATTAATTCCGGTGCTTTTTATTTTTGAATAGATGCAAAGGGAGACAAATCCTAGTGCTTCCCTTATTGACAGAACCATCAAGATGAGAAAAGAAACAGAAGCTAAGAAAGTGGTTTTAGCCTGGGGACTCCTAAATGTATCTATGGCTGGAATGATATACACTGAAATGTAAGTTAATTAGCCAAAAAAAGTGAAACTTGAAGAGGTTAATGGTCGGTTCCACAGGTTTTGGTGTTTGTTTTGATTTGGGTGTTTGTTCTCTTTGTTGTTTTTGATTTTTTTTTTTTTTAAGACTTTGAAAAGCCTTTCTAATTTTTTCAGGACTGGAAAATTGATTAGTTCATATTATAATGTGACATACTGGCCCCTCTGGTATATTGGTAAGTAATTAATTTTTATTGTGATTTAGATATACTACTGATGAAAAACTGCATTCACGTTTAATTCAATTTAGTATTCGTCCCTGTATTCCATAAATATTCGAGTGTGTACTATGTTCCAAAAACTGGGGATACAGTAGGAAGGGAACAAGGTCCCTGCCGTCATGGAAGAAACGTTCTAGTCGAGGAAACAAATGAAACAGTACAATTCCAGGTAATCATTGGAGTTCTGCGATGAAAAACAATGTTTGGTGGTGGTGATTTGTTCTCTCTGAAATGCCTTCCCGACTTCCCTACCACTGCTCCTTTCACGAACAACCAGATTTCTATTCCATTGATGCCTTCCTGAGTTTACTTGTTACTTCCTCTGTCTGCTTCTCTCTGCTCTTGGGTAGTCCTGGGATATGAAGAGTCTTTATGGCCATTAGAGTGAATTCCATAGTCTAACACAGACATTAATGTGGAGTCTGTGATAGGGAGGTGGTGTGGCGAGGAAATAAGCGTGTTTTGGTACCTGCATACCTGACGTGTAATCATGAATAACTGGATGTGTGTTCTTGCAAAAGTCACTTGACTTCTGTAGCCAAATGAAGGTCAAAATATTTATTGTACAAGGTTGTAAGGATTAGTGATTATTTTTTTGGTAAGATTTTTTGATTTTTAGGTAACCTCTACACCCAGTGTGGGGCTTGAACTCGCAACCCTGAGATTGAGTCACATGTTCCACTAAATGGGCCAGCCAGGTGCCCAATAATATTTTGAAATTCACTAGTAAATGTCCTATAATGAACATTTATGTAATAAACATTGTATAAAGTATACATTCATTAAATGGTAACTATTATGAGGAGTAGGAAGATGGTTTTCAGTTTTTTTGTTGACTTGCTGAAGTTTGAAGAGTTTTGTTCCCCCCCCCTTAAATGTTCTGCCTCCCTTTTTAAAAATTTAACATATTGTTCTCTTCCAGAGCTTGCCCTTGCCTCCCTCTTTAGCCTAAACGCCTTATTTGATTTTTGGAGATATTTCAAATACACTGTGGCACCAACAAGTCTGGTGGTTAGCCCTGGACAGCAAACACTTTTAGGGTTGAAAACAGCTGGTAAGTGTTTTATATCTTTTGCAAAGGTGGGGGAAAGGTTGGCAATAAATCTTTCTCAATTTAATTTGCCCTTTTTATAGACTGAGCTGGAAGGGACTTCTAAGGCC